CTGTCCACCACGCGCCAGTACGTCGACCAGGCTTCAACGGGGCCAGGCTCACGCGGAGCACCACCGACAGTGGCCTGGACCGCGCGGGGAACTGCGGCAGCACGCGGGCAGCCGTGCGAGCTGCCGCTGCCCTTGGGCAGAGCGGTGCAAGACAAGTTTTTGCCCGGCGGGACCCCCCCCCCGGCGCAGCCCGAGGCCTCAGAAGGCCTGTTTGGCGACAGGCAAAACAACCCGCGCGGTTGCAGGAGCGAGGCCCGACGGGGTCTGGTGTGTTCCCGCAGCGGCGGCGGCGCTAGGCGCGGGCGCTTGACGGGCCAGCTCCTGGCGGACCCGCGGTGTGGAGCGCACCGGCGCGCACCCAAGCGCGGAGCCATACGCCCGGCAGGGCGCGCGGGCCGGGATTCGGACGACGGTGGGCACGTCGAGCTTGAGCCCGGTAGCGTTGAGCGTCGTCGTCCGTCTGGCCGTTCCTCTCCCTTGGGTCGGAGGGGGAGGAAGGGAAGAAGGGAACGGAAGCGGCGGGGAAGGGGGTGGCAGAGCAGCCTGCTCTCCGACTTCGCCACGCTGCCACCGCGACGACCGCCTCGCAGCCCCTGGGAGCGGGAGGAGGAGGAAGAGGAGGAGGAGGAGAAGGAGGAGGAGGAGCGAGCGAGGAGGAAGAAACAGGAGCAGCAACCAGCGGCGGCGGCGGCAGCAGCGGCCCCTCGTATTCTAGCCACGCGAAACAGCCCTCGTGTGGTAGTGGGACAGATCGACGCCCAAGGTTGGCGCGACCCGCAAGACGGAGGCCCCGAGCGCTGAGAGAGCACTTCCACCATCCTCCCGCGACGCCGCGTCCAGCGGGTTCGATTTGGTGTGGACATACTCGAACCAGCACAGGATATCATGCTGACAGAGAAGCTCGCGCACGGCACCGACAACGAATGCTACGTAGGGGACCCGCTGTATCCCCGGACACGGCCGGCGAGCGCAGCGGTGTTGTCGCCGAAGCAGAAAGACAATGCGTGCGAATTGTCTCGCCCCACACTTCTAGTGTTTCGGCGATTCAACACGCTTCGGCCCCGTCGATGGCGTGCTGATGAGACGGCCCTTGCAGTTCACGCTCGGCAGTACGACCGAGAAGCCCTCGCGGAACCTGCGGGCGAGAGCCAGCGAGTTCCTCTCATTCTAGAGCAAGCGGCTTGCGCCAGTAGTTGCGGTTGCCGACTTCGGGGCCTTTTCTGGTGAGAGGTGAAGAACAAGCCCCACGAGGGGCAGCTGTAAACCGTGCGGGCTCTTCGCCTCGTTAACGTCGTACTCTAAAACCTTGAGCGACCCGCGGAGGACGAAACGACAGACGAAGCCGACCACGGCGAAATTATCAGCATAACTATCTGCGTTGATGAAAAACCACCAACACAGCACGTCACGCAGACAGCGAAACACGACATTGGAGTTAGTTGCGGCGCCTGCGGAGTCCTGCGACAAAACCTCCCTTCCAACAACTTCGCCGCTCTGCGGGTCTTAGAAAAGTTGGACGACTCGCACCAGAGAGCGGCAGCGGCCGATTTGATAGTACACCTTGCACAAGTCGTCCTTACTGCCAACCGGAGGCGCACCGAACGCGGGCTGCGAGGCGACCGTCTGCGCGTCTGACCAGGCGATTTTCTCAGCAGGCCCTGTTCAAGCAGCAGCTGCCCAGGAAGTCCAACGCATCCGCGCACGCGCGAACCTCCCAGGCGCAAGACAGCGCAGCGGCGCTGTCCTCCTCAGACGACTTGCGCTGCCAACAGGGGGAATTTGCTACAGAAGACTAATAATTATCTCCGCCGGCGGGACCCGACCGGAAGAAATCGACAGGATGTGGCGGCCCTACCGGGCCCGTTTGCTCGGCCTCTACGCCCTGTGCCCACAAAGCGTCAGCACGCGGGTGGCTTCTTGGCACGCGCTGCACGAGCTCTTGGTTGCCGGGAGCCGCTTTCTTGGAGAAGTTGGCTGACCGACCAGACGGGCGTGGCCGCCGCCGCACGTGGCAAAATGCCGGACTCCGCGGCCACCCCCGTGTCCCGGAGGCCTTGGTGGAGGTATTGCAAAAAGAAAGCGGCAGGGGAGTCGAGGACGCGGAGGAGGCGAAAGACGAGGAGGGACGGTTCGCGCGCGAAGTGGGCGACAGCAGGGTCAACTTTTTTACTTAGCTGAAGCTGCTCATCGTGTAGCTCACGGCTCCAGACTCTGAGCGAAGCCAACCTTTCCAAGCGAATGTCATTGACAGCACTACCGAAACGAATTTGTCTTGCAATGGCGATCGCCGCGCGCTCAGCCACAGCGAGTGGCTGATTCAAAGGGTGAGCGCCGCCACCTGCCACGTCGAGCGCTGCCGCGAGGTGTTCGCTGGGCAGCAGGTCCGAAGACTGAACCACGTTAAACACGCGCGTGGCTGCACTGCCACAGAAGGGTCGCCACGCCAGCCGTAGACGACAGACAAAGCTGTGCCCTAGCGAGGCAAGGCATGTCTGGCGGCTGCAGGCACCAACGCTAGCAGGTCCGCGCTGGAACTTAAAACCTTAAAGCTCAGCGCGCTCGGCGGAGCACGCGGAGGCGGGGGCGGGTAGGCCGAGTGGGGGGCAGAGGAAGCCGGAAAAGGCGGGGAGGCGGGCGAGGACGGGCCAGTTGTCAATTGCACGGGGGACGCGAGCACCGCTGCACAGAATCACTCGCGGCCGAGCCCTGGCCTCGCGGTTCAGGCCGAGCGCGGCCGGCCGCGGGCTGGCCCCTCACCTGCGCTGCGGGGGGGCGCGCTCGCCATTCCCGCGCCCCCTCGGCGGAGGGGGTGCGGGAGCGCTCGCGGCGCGGCTGCGGATGCTTGCGGCCCCTCTGTGTCGTTGCTTCCACAACTGCTGGCTGTGCGCGCCTCTCGGAGGAGGCGCGCGCCGCAGAACGCCGCCGCCCTCTCGGCCTGCCCCGGCGGGACGGCGTTGTCTGCAGCGGAGGCGGCGGCCTGGCCGACCCAGTTCAGGGCGCTGCCCCAGGAGACACGGCCATCAAGGGCAGCGGCCCAGACGCGCGGCAACTCTTGGCATAGGGTCTGCGACAGCGGGCGCTGTAGCCAGTCCACGTCCTCCAACTTAGGAGAAGGTGTCTGCAGGAACAGCCCGGCCTTGCGCGCTGCGGCGGCGGCGCAGAGCGGACTTGTCGGGCTCAAGGCTGCGAAGTGGTTCTCCTTGGCCGGCCGCCTGCACCAGCTTCCGAAGTTGGTCAGCCGGGTCGTGTTCCGCCGTCAGCTCCTCGAGCGTTTCGGAGTCTTGCCTCACCGCCGCCGCCACGACCTGCCCCAAGAAGAGGTTGCTGCTGACTGCGGCCTGGCCGGCGCGAGGGTGGAAAGGCGAAGCCCTTGTTCAGTCGCCCAGCGGGCCGTCGAACTGTCGAACGGAGACATCGCGGCGCTTGCCGAGTCGGACTCGGAGGCGAGCCTGGCTGAGTGGTTCTTTGCAGGCATGGCCCCCAGGAGCTCGTGGATGACTGCTGTCGCCAGAGGGCCGAGGTCCCCCGGCAGGCTGCGAAAGAAGGCCCTGTTGCCCATGTTGCCGATGTCTTTCAGCAACTCCCCAGCATCAGGATCGTTATACCCACACTTGACCAAGGCTTCTGTGAGACGGGTCCACCGCGCCTCCTCTGTGAGGGCACAGGCCGCCGCTCCACTGGCAGCGAGCTTCTCCTGGAGGGAGCCGAACGTCGTAACTCCTGCCACCGGGTCTGCTGCAGCCGGAGCGGCAGCCAGTGTCGCCGACGCTTGCGCCACTAAATCACGGCCGCCTCCTGCAGCTGCGCCTCCGACCCAGGGTGCCTGGGCCGAGAGGCGCTCTTGGATCTGCGCCTTCTGGTGCTGAAAGGGAGAGGGTGGGGACGACGTGAGAAAGTAAGCCTTGGAAGTAAAAGACAAGCGGTCACTCTTGTGACCCAAGTGGCTGCGGAAAAAACAGGGAAGCAGAGTACAGCGATAAGGATGCATACAGGTGCAGAGGGAGGGGGCAGGTAGACTAACTACGCGTCATATTTGTGAATATGCGTTTGTGGTGTTGTTTGTTCTCTGTTTTTTTCCTTGTTACTCAGCTGCAGGTGGAATGATCAGGGGCAACGGCAGGGGGGTACCCCCAATCGCCCATAGATCTCTTCCCGCCCATCAACGTGGTGCTCCGCTGGCGGGAGCCCAATCGCCGATCCGTCGGCGATGCATCGCCGACTCCCAGCCATTGTCTCAGCACCCGTATGGCCCCCATCCCCCCTTTCTGGGGCTGGGCCAGAGAGCTCCAGGGGAGGAGAGGGGAGGGGAGCTCCCGATGGAGAGATTCCATGCCGAGGGGGGCATACTCCACCCCCGCCTGTTCCCCCCCCCCTCGTGGAGGAGGAGCCCAGTGGGAGTGGCAGTGTCCTCCTGCGCCCCAGCCCCTGTCGTATCGTCGGAGATCTGGCTCCCCCTCGACTGATCGACCGGCCCCGGCCAGCGCCGCCGATGCTTCGGGAGCCGTCGGCCGGCTGCTCGGCCAGGGGGCCCGCTCGCCCGCGCCGACCTCGGCGGGCGACCGATCGGCCGAGCGATGTTGCGCTCAGGGGCGGCTCTGGGTGTTGGGCCGTATTCCTGCTCCCTCCTCCTTCTCCTCCTCGCCCTTGTCCTCCTTCCCCTCCTCCCTCCTCCGTCCTCCTACTCTTCCTGGTCCCTCATTGTCCTCCCTCCTCCTGCTCCTCCTGCTCCTCTTGTCATCCTCATCCTCCTCACCATCATGCCCTGCCTTCTGAGACTCCACCCCGCCTGGCTGCGCTTGTGGATTACCCAGCTTCCCTGACGGAAAACACCGTCTGGGCAGTTTGGGTTTGTGATGTCACGGTAACACGTAACTACACCAGAGGATGTATCAACCGAGTTTGGTTGCGATGATGTCGTCGTGGGGGGAAATGATCCTCCACCTGGCCTCTCCCCCCCTCCCCATGTCCTCCTCGTCCCGCTCTCTCCCTGCGCCCCCGAGGACGTGATCGACGACAAACTCGAGGAGGCGGTGATGGCGAGCGAGACGGCGGGCGGCGGCAGCCAGGAGAACAAGAAGGAGGCCCCGCGTGGCGTGCACGGCGCACTCCTCCCCCGCCTGCCGGATGCTTCCCAGATGGAGCGGGCTGGAGCTCGAAGGAGACGAGCATTGCACACCGTCAAGACACTGAAATAAGGACCAGCTCGGGTTCGTAAGGGGCTCGCTGCCCCTGAGGTCCTTCCACGCGTGCTTCTCCAGCACTTCTCGTGCACCTGGGCTGGGGGCCAAGATGGGGCGTCGCTTTTGTTTAGCGATTCTTGTGGTAGCAGCTTGACTAAACCTGAGTTTTCGGAGTTCCTGAAATTGATGCTTGCGTTGTTGCTTCTCGTTCTGAGGTCAGATGGAGTCGGAGGATTGCACCGCATGATCGTTGATGTTCCAGCAGTGCCGGACGGAGAAAATCGAACGGAGTAAATCGAACCTCGGATCGCGCCGCATCGCCGATGCATCAGCGGTCCTGCACGATCTTCTGATATTGTTCCCTCAGGCCCCATTTGGGAGGCCTGGACTTGCCCCCCCTCCTCCTGCGCGATGCTCTCTGAGTCTTCCAAACGTCACGCTGGGCACAACAACCGACAATATATGATCCCGGGCTCCGGGCCCACGGCCCCCGCCCCCCCAGATGGCATGGTCCCAGGATTCCTCGGGCCCCCCCCCCCCAGATGGGATGGGGGGAGGGACGACGACGACGACGACGACGGCGGCGGCGGCAGCGGCGGCGGCGGCGACGACGAAACGGGGAAGATACCCTCGACGACGATGCTCCTCCTCTTCCACGCAAGACACCGACGACGACGATTACAGATTGGCACCTTCCCTCCGTCAAGTGTAGCAGTTTTACGTCATGCCTGGGACGGCGATGCATATGCCGATGCCGATGCTGACGCTGTCGTCGTCGTCTCCGCCGCCGCCGTCGTCGTCGTCGTCGTCGTCGTCGTCGTCGTCGTTGTCGTCCACAGGGGGGCCACCACCCCCACACGGAGAGGGCCACCACGCCACGCCCACAGGGGGGGGGGCATCGCGCGGGGGGGCGGGGCCCGATGGCATTAGCATTGGAAGGGGGGGGGGGGGGGCCAAGCCCTGGACCATATATGTGTGTCAGGGCTGGGAGGGCATCTGTTTGTCCCCGGGGGCACACGGGGACCCGTGCGCCCCACAAACAAGAAGCGCTGCTCTTGAATGATGACCTGAGGAGAAGGCCCAGCGAGCCCCAAGACGCAAGACGGGCCCAGAACGGCCCCAGAGGGCCCCAAGAGGGCCCCGAGGTGTTCCAAATTTTAACAAAACAACCAGTTTTAGCACCATTAGCGAGAAAAGGACACCCAAATAGCACCCAACACGCTAACACATACACATGCATACTTACATGCATGCATGCATATGTATATATATATATATATAAACATACATATACATACATACATACATACATACATACATACATACATACATACATGCATTCATGCATGCATACATACACACATACATACTCATATACATGCATGCATACATGCATGCATGTATGTATGTATGTATGCATATACACCTAGATACAGATATTTACACATACACACAAACAGACAGACGTACATATATATATATATATATATACATATATACATACACATACATACACAAGTGGCACGTGTGTGCTCAGGCTCATCCAAAAAAATTGAAAGGGCGTTTGAAGCAGGAAAACACCGTGACTGCAGGATCGGAGATGGACAAGGGGAAGCTGGGGCGGCGCCGCCAGGGCGTGCCTAAGAGAAGGGGAAGAGGCAGGAGGTGAACGCAGGAGAATCTAAGATCGAGGTCGCACTCGAGCGCAAGTGGGGTTGCCACACCTTGCGATGTGTGTACCAGGGCCCCCCATGAAACCTCAGGAGGCCCGACTTGGATACCGGAAGAGGCTCCAGGAGGCTTCAGGATTGTGAGTGTTGGGTGTGTGGTGTGTGTGTGTGTCTGTGTGTGTCTGTGGTGTGTGTCTGTGGTGTGTGTCTGTGGTGTGTGTTTGTGGTGTGTGTGTCTGTGGTGTGTGTCTGTGGTGTGTGCCTGTGGTGTGTGTCTGTGCTGTGTGTCTGTGCTGTGTGTCTGTGCTGTGTGTCTGTGCTGTGTGTCTGTGCTGTGTGTCTGTGCTGTGTGTCTGTGCTGTGTGTCTGTGGTGTGTGTCTGTGCTGTGTGTCTGTGCTGTGTGTCTGTGCTCTGTGTCTGTGGTGTCAGGCTGTGCTGTGTGTCTGTGCTCTGTGTCTCTCTGTGTCTCTCTGTGTCTCTCTGTGTCTCGTTGTGTCTCTGTGTGTCTCTGTGTGTCTCTCTGTGTCTCTCTGTGTCTCTCTGTGTCTCTCTGTGTCTCTCTGTGTCTCTCTGTGTCTCTCTGTGCCTCTCTGTGCCTCTCTGTGCCTCTCTGTGCCTCTCTGTGCCTCTCTGTGCCTCTCTGTGCCTCTCTGTGCCTCTCTGTGCCTCTCTGTGCCTCTCTGTCTCTCTGTGTCTCTCTGTGTCTCTCTGTGTCTCTGTGTCTCTCTGTGTCTCTCTGTGTCTCTCTGTGTCTCTCTGTGTCTCTCTGTGTCTCTCTGTGTCTCTCTGTGTCTCTCTGTGTCTCTCTGTGTCTCTCTGTGTCTCTCTGTGTCTCTCTGTGTCTCTCTGTGTCTCTCTGTGTCTCTCTGTGTCTCTCTGTGTCTCTCTGTGTCTCTCTGTGTCTCTCTGTGTCTCTCTGTCTCTCTGTGTCTCTCTGTGTCTCTCTGTGTCTCTCTGTGTCTCTCTGTGTCTCTCTGTGTCTCTGTGTCTCTCTGTGTCTCTGTGTCTCTCTGTGTCTCTCTGTGTCTCTCTGTGTCTCTCTCTGTGTCTCTCTGTGTCTCTCTGTGTCTCTCTGTGTCTCTCTGTGTCTCTCTGTGTCTCTCTGTGTCTCTCTGTGTCTCTCTGTGTCTCTCTGTGTCTCTCTGTGTCTCTCTGTGTCTCTCTGTGTCTCTCTGTGTCTCTCTGTGTCTCTCTGTGTCTCTCTGTGTCTCTCTGTGTCTCTCTGTGTCTCTCTGTGTCTCTCTGTGTCTCTCTGTGTCTCTCTGTGTCTCTCTGTGTCTCTCTGTGTCTCTCTGTGTCTCTCTGTGTCTCTCTGTGTCTCTCTGTGTCTCTCTGTGTCTCTCTGTGTCTCTCTGTGTCTCTCTGTGTCTCTCTGTGTCTCTCTGTGTCTCTCTGTGTCTCTCTGTGTCTCTCTGTGTCTCTCTGTGTCTCTCTGTGTCTCTCTGTGTCTCTCTGTGTCTCTCTGTGTCTCTCTGTGTCTCTCTGTGTCTCTCTGTGTCTCTCTGTGTCTCTCTGTGTCTCTCTGTGTCTCTCTGTGTCTCTCTGTATCTCTGTGTCTCTCTGTGTCTCTCTGTGTCTCTCTGTGTCTCTCTGTGTCTCTCTGTGTCTCTCTGTGTCTCTCTGTGTCTCTCTGTGTCTCTCTGTGTCTCTCTGTGTCTCTCTGTGTCTCTCTGTGTCTCTCTGTGTCTCTTTGTGTCTCGCTGTGTCTCTGTGTGTCTCTGTGTGTCTCTGTGTGTGTCTGTGTGTGTGTCTGTGTGTGTCAGTGTGAGTGTGTGTGTATGTGTGTGTGATGTGTGCTATGTGATGTGCGTGTTTTCTGTGCGTTGTAGGTGTTGTGTGTGTTATGTTCGTCTAGCGTGTGATGTGTTGGGTGTGCTTTGTGTCTCTGTGCGTGCGAATGCAGTTCTGAGGCCCCAGGAGGCCCCAGGAGGCCCCAGGCGGCCTCAGGAGGCCCCAGAAGACCCCAGGAGGCTCCAGGAGGCCCCAAGAGGCTCCAGGAGGCCGCAGGAGGCCCCAGGAGGTTCCAGGAGACCCCCAGGAGGCTCCGAGGCGGGGTCTGGGGTACCAGAAGGTACAGAAAGCCCCAGGAGGCCCCAAGAGGTTCCAGGAGGCTCCCAAGAGGCTCCGAGGCGGGGTCTGGGGTACCAGAAGGTACGTCGGGGCTCGATTTTGGGAGGATGTCTCAGGCGAAACCGCCATTCTCTGAGAATCGGGGTCAAACCATTGGAATTACAATGTGTGTTTGAAGGTTTTATGTTAGAATGTTGGAATTCCCTGTTTTTGGACGTCACGATCTGCATGAGGGGTGCCACCGATTTTCAGAATTTCGAGGAAGTCCCGAGCGAAACGGCCAGAAACATCGCGGACGCGGCGCCCCGCGTACGCATCAATCGCCTTTGAGTCCTACTCCCTCGGAGAGGTGCGTATGATAATATATATATATATATATATATATATATATATATATACTAGAACCACGCGCGCGCTTCGCGCGCGCTTAGGTTCTGTCGAGTCACAGACCCAGGAATCGTTGCGAGAAGAAATTGGTGACGCGAAGCGTCTTGGGGGCGTCCTTGGACGTCTGGGGTCTCCTGGGGCCTCTTGAGGGGCCTCCTTGGGGCCTTCTTGGGCTCCATCTGGAAGCCAAGATGGATGCAACAAGAGGGTGCTTGGGCTCTCCGTGAGCTATCCTCTGGTTTTCATTCCCCTGGAGAGGAGAAGGAGGAGGAGGAGGAGGAGGAGGAGGAGGAGGATGAGAAGGAGGAGGAGGAGGAAGATGCAGAGGAGGGAGGAGGAGGAAGGAGAGGAGATGTTGGGGCGCTCTTGGGGCCCTCTTGGGCTCTCTTGGGGTTCGTCGGGGCCCTCGTGGGGCCACCTTGGGCTCCTCTCGGAGCTCCAAGAGGAGCCCACAGAGGGGCCCAACATCGGTCACGCGAGAGCTCTTTCGCGTGACCGATGTTGGGGCCCTCTTGGGGCCCTATTGGGCCTCCTTGGGCCCTCTTGGGGTCTCGACGGGGCCCTCGTGGGGCCATCTTGGGCTCCTCTCGGAGCACCAAGAGGAGCCCAAAGAGGGGGCCCAACATCGGTCACGCGAGAGCTCTTCCGCGTGACCGATGTTGGGGCCATCTTGGGGTTCCTTGGGCCTCCTTGGGCCCACGTGGGGCTCCCTCGGGGCCCTCGTGGGGCCATCTTGGGCCCCTCTTGGAGCTCCAAGAGGAGCCCAAAGAGGG